GAATAAAACTGATGGCAGATTGCTGTCCTCAAATGAATCAAAAATAACCACAGTTTAAAAAGATGAATTCATGACATCATTGCAGTGCAGCCATATATTATGTTAAATAAACTACGCAACTGAATAACTCTCTTACGAATTATTTGTTGAAAGTGGGTGAAAAGCTTACCATGAATAAACTTGTATTAAAAAAGGAGGTTGGGTGCAGAAACTTCCTGCCTCATTCACTGCTCCTAACGCCAGGTTCATGGACAGATGCTAATTTTGGGCCCAATTTTGACCTTACAACAATCTTAAGGATGCTCCAATTATTGAGATGGCACTCAAGATAATCCTGTGGTTTGTGGTTTGTTAAGAGTTATCTAGTCAGTTTGGAAGTATGTCAGGACTGCACCAATCTCAAGTCAAGGATATTCAACATGTTGGATTGTTTTCTCCAGATATACTGTGTGTGGTGTTCCCCAAGAACAAACGACCATGCAGCTGGTTGAATGTGATGTAGCCAATCAGAAAGAGCTTGTTTAAACTGACTAAAAGAATCGTTCTTAGAAGATGAAAACAGCTGATGAGCCAGTCGTCATCTTGACCAGAAAACCCTGTGTACACAATCTGTGTATTGCACCATTTGTTACATCCTCCAAAAAGGCTGAACCTATTGTTGTTGAAGGAATTTGTGCTTTTATATCCACTAATCTAGCTGCGTACATGTGGATGTATTAAATGTTAATGTGTGTCTGGTGTTTCCCAGAATCACCTCCAAGTGTCGCCAATGGAACCAGAACTACAGAAACGTGTGTACGCCCATGAAAATTTGGTGTGGGGCTGCGCACATTTCCACATTAATTTCACTTGCTGCATCTGAAATTTTGCGTTAAAAAACAAAACAAAACAAAAAAAGACAGAAAAGCTTTTGTGATGCATTTTTGTAGTCAGCTGGGTTTCAGCCCTACACATTACACTAAAATATCACAAAGTGCAGGAGAGTGTTGACTGGGAGTTCTGTCAGATCCAATTAACAAACAATTTCAGGTCCAGTAAAAAGTGTTTAGAAGGAAATACAAAGCTATAGCTATTCTTTTGTATTTTCTCTCAATCATTTGTTGTCCATTTAAAAAAATAACACCACACCCCCACCCTGCAGTTTTAAAACTATTGTACTTGTCTAATCTGTTGTCATTATTGTTATATTTGTGACACTCGACACACTCAAGCTATGTGTGTCTATTAATTACCATATTTATTCGTGTATAATACGATCTCATGTATAATACAACCCAACTTTTTGAGCTTAAAAACATAAAAAAATTAATCTTCAAACTACCTCCAATTTCATACAGACTTCAAGATTTTTCAGCCTT